CACCTGTAACCTAAGTGCGATATCAACTTATATTTTAATCATTTTTAATAAATTAAAAATCAAATGACAAATATTTTATACATTACAAATAAAATAATATTGTAAAAAGAAAATGATACTTGTAAGCAATTTTTAAGAAAGATTTGAGACTCTCGTGGATTAATATTATTCTTAAGACTTTCAAATAACAAAATAATGTTTTGTTGTTTAAATGTTTTAAAATTAAATGGATAAATTAATGTTTTTTTAAAAAATAAAAGAAAGAAGGATTATATTCGTGAAGCATAAGAGAGTAATTGGTTAACAATCTGATTATTCAGAAATGTGATTTTGTTAAAGAAAAAAAATATTTAATGACAGATTATAAGATATGAATGATAATATATAATGATAATGATTAATAAATTTTATTAATAAATTATTAATAAATATTAATAAATTGATAAATATATATAATGAAATGATTAATAAATTTTCTAATGTCTTTAAGTAAGTTAATCAATATAAATAATCATACTTACTTTATCGACTGTCAAAAAACCGGTTACAACTGGTGGAACAAATGCAAGGCTCAATATTATCATCCCAGAGAAACCAAGATTAATACTAGCAAAATTTGGACTTAAGTCCACGAGAGTTGCTAAAGTACCAGCGGAAAGTGCACCATTAACAGCAACTCCCGATGTCATAAAAATGGCTGCAAGTATTGGATAATATCCGCAAAAACTTAACAGGCAGACAAAAATACCTTGCATTCCAAGAGACACAAATACAGCCAATTTTCTAGTATTAGTTACGCTCATTTTCTTGTTAGTTATGAGCCAATCACTGAAGACCGAATAATAATATGAGAAAAGCATTCTCAATAAATGTGGTGCTCCAGAAATAATACCAGTCTGCAATTGAATTTATATTAATTACTCTTTTCTTATAGAAATATATAAACTGTGGATATCTGTTATAAATTTAAAATTTTACGAACGTAATCATAAAATTGAAACAAAGATCTGTTCCGTTTAAATCGTAATACGCACGTTGTATTTTACTACGGGCACTATTTCTACAGATTTTTGTACAAATTTTAAATTTTCTATAAATATATACATATTTACAATTTAATCATCAAGAATGTTTCATTAGGAAATATTACATTAATTCAAGCATTCAGAAAATGAATTTTAAGGAAAGTGATTTTAATTTGGAAATTGACAAGATATCTGTGTACCATGGTAATATTCCATCCATGAATGACGCTGAAGTAAGTTGGGACGTGAGTTAACAAGGTGAAGAGAGCCCATCCTCCACCAGTTTGAGAAATTATTACAACCCAAACTGGAATCGATGTTAATATAGATTTCCAAGGTATTTTTTTCACCTCCTCGTCAACCGAATCGGCAATGCTGTCTAAAATATATTTTTTCTCTTCGTCGGATATTCGAGGATGTTGCTGAGGTGTGTCAAACGCGAAAAAGTACCAGAAGAAATACCTTGCAAATTATTTTTTCACATTGAAAATTGTTTTTTGTAATAAATATTATTTAACAATATATATTTTCATCGTATTTATCATAAATATTTCAATTAAAATAAAATAATTACCAAATAACACCGATTAATGATGTTATGTGAAAAGTAGCACCCCAATTGAGTCCGCTAATAATAATTGCGCAAAGTGGATAAGTGATAGCAGCACCTACGGAACCACCTAAAACATGAAATATTTAGAAATCGTATTGTTATTTTGTCATTTCTCAAATCTTTCTTTCAAAATTTTTCAAAAATTTATCGATAAACAGTAACATATATTAAATAAATATAATAATAAAATTATTCCAAGTACTTTACCCAAGTAAGAACTAACAAATCTGCTTCTCTCGTTTGGAGGAATCCATTTGGCAGTCATATTGTGCATAGAAGGCCACACAACACCCTAAATAAATCTTCCAATAGTTCCAAATATTCTTTCAAAATATATTCCATTTATTATTTGTATTTACTCACTGCGAAAAAACCTTGAAGAAGTCGTAGAAACACAAGAACATAAAGCTGATATGTTGCAATCGGGATGATGAAGCCAATAATCGCTGGCAACAAATTTCCCATTCCAAAAACAATTTTCGTACCGTAACGTCTTGCTAAAAACCCACCAGGAATTTGCGTTGTCCAATGTAACCAGAAATAAGATCCCAAAGCTAAATTCTGTTCGTTTTCGTTCCATGCAAATCGATCCTGAAAGCAAAATTAAGTTTTTGCTGTACAATATAATAATATATAATGTAATATGATAATTCATACTTATTACATTTATAATTATTTACAAACATTAATAAATAAAATAAAAAAAAGAATTCCATGTTTTCATGAATATATTTTCACATGAAAAGAATGTTAAAAAAAACTATAGTTTGATATTATTATGTTTGTATGCAATGTTAGAATATGAAAAATATATATATATATATATATATAATATAAATAGCTATATTCCAATATTCCAATAATAAATATTTTAATATATATAAAATATTGAATATTGAAAATATAAAGTATATAGCTCACTAAAATATTTTCATTTTTTAATTTATTATTGAATTGTTAATGATAATTTCTTAAATTTAATTTTGATGCAATTATACAAGATAAAGCAAAATTTTAAATTACAAAGGGTTCAGAATTTAGTGCTCTATCTTTATTATTTATTGCTCATTTTATAAAAAAATTTTCATGCAAAATTGTATCCAAAATATAAAAATTGAAAATTTTTGAAAATTGATTTGATTTCTTCAAAAAGATTTTCCATTAACAAGAAAAATTTCTTCATATAAGCATTCCTCCACTATGCTTTATATGTGCACAAATTTTTATTCAAATCAAAATATTTAAATTAGATGAATTCTATAAAATAATGTTGAAATATTTTTATTAATCATACGTTAATACAGAAAAATATAAAAATATACTTACTTTATACTCCAAAATTGAAATATTCGCATCGTTACTTTCTGTTGCAGGAGGTATTACCATTGACACAATTGTCAAATGCAAGTTTAATCTCAACATATAATTGATGACGAAACCACAAAAAACGAGATACCAAAGCACAGACCGGCATGTTAACAGTTCTTTTCCTTGAAGATATTTAATTTTAAACATAATAAGTTCCTTAACAAATTTTATTATTTATGTTATTATGAATTATTATTTAAAAATTATTCTTATGCACAACATAATGATAAATGGAAAATAACATAAGATATTTGAAATAAAATGTACACAAATGTAATATCATTTATTGAACGATAATAAGACTTCCTATATTTTATTCTATAATGTTTAAATAGAGAATTTAGCACGAGTTAAAAATGGTGATACTATTTGTTATCCAATTATATATGATACCAAAAAAAAAAAAAAAAAAAAATGCAATATATTCACCAATAATAATTAAACTATAATCTAAAAATGAACGATAAGATAATAATGAATTTTTAACTTAATAATATTTTTAATTTTTTCTTGCTACAATCAATGTCAAGGATTAAAAAAAGGATCGAAAAATTTATGTATGATATCAAATGATATCAATATTTGAATCTATCTCATATTTTTAATTTAACGTTTCACGATTAATTTATGAAAAAAAAAAATGAGAAGAAAATAAACGGATTATCTCAGAGAAATTGAAGAATTAAAAGAAATAAATCAATTATTCTTTACTACATACATTTATACTAATATTTAAGAATATTCGATTATATATATATATACATATATATAATTTGTATATGACAGTAGTTTGTATGACAAAATTAATAGTAATTTGTATAACAATTAATTCATAAAATACATAACAAAAAGGAAAATTCTTATTTTTCAAGAAAGTCATTGATTCTGAGTCAATATTCTAATAAAATTCTCTCAATTTTTTCTTTTTAGATAAGAAATCTATTAGTAACTTGTCTTGTCATGAAATCATCTCATGAAATTATTCCATAATGTAATTTTAAAAAATAAAAATATTATTAAATTTATAAATATTAGTTAGTTTAATTGTTAATTTTTACATTTTGATAAAATTAAAATATCATTACTGCAAATTAATCAAACTATCCGAATATTTATAAACGATAATTTACATTGTGCAGCGTGCAATTTCAATTAATCATATTCGTCAAACTTCGCGTCGTTCAATTATTCGACATTATTTAATTTATGATTCGTGACTCTTAACAAAATTTACTCACTTTCAGCCATCTGAATCCTCCTTGCAACGATAACCACTTTCACAAATGAATACAATTCACCGTTTTCTACGTTTTTCAAAATTCAAATTCGTAATCCTTAAAAAATCTTTGAGATTGTTTGTAATTTATCATTCACCTGTATTATGTATGTCACCATTACATGTCAATAGAAAATGAAACGTGTATGTATATTAGTCGTAAAATGACGAAACGAAAAATATTAAAACGATATTTCGAGGCGAGGGTCAAGATATACCATTGCCCGTGAGAATATTTCTAATAATTCTAATCTCATTGATTTTGATGTAAAAGCCTCGCGTTACAAATTACAGAGACATCAGTCCATTGACAGATTTTGTCCAATGTTTTGCGCATTCATGAGTGTGTGTTATTCAATCAGAATTGCAGAGCGATATTGCGAGACTGCACTTCAATTATGATTTACGTTACATATCTCGAGAAATTTCCCTATATTTCTCTTCTATTATTGAAATATTACTCGTGATAACAATAATTACACTGCAGCTACGTTCCTTTTCTTCAAATCCAAGATTCTCTCTTTCTTTGACTGATTGAAAGACTCCGTATCTATTATTTGTCGATCGTTCTATTATTACCATATATCATATATTATTCGATGATATATCCTTTCGAATATAAATTAACTAGATTAAATTCTCTCTCGTAAAAATTTTAATTTAATTAATTAATTTGATCAATTAATTCTTACAAATACATCTTCCAAAAATTATAAATTATTAGAATTATAATTATTAATCGATAATGTTATATTCTTGATTGAAATAATAAATAAAATTTGATTGAAACTATAAAAAATTATTATTCTAATAACATTCATTTCCAGATCTTAATTAATCTGTAATTAATCGGTAAGTTATTGATAATTAATAAATACTTCCCATGCTTTCTCAAATACACGGTCATACATTCGTGCAAATCACAATGAAATAAATTTTTTAAAAAATGAATCTTTCGATGCAATTTTTGTATTTTTTATTTTTCTTATATTTTTTTCTTTTTCTTTTTTCTTTTTTTCTTTTTTTTTTTTTTT